GTGCGGGGCCGCAGTGCGCGGCGGTGAGGGGCAGCGAACAGCCTTGTTCCTGTGCGGCCGAAAAGGGGTTCTGCCTTCCAGAACCGCAGGCTGTTAGCTACCTGATCCAGGAACGTTTGCGGCCGCCTGAAGTTTTTTAGATTTTAATAAAGCTCGCAATAAGGAAAAGAATGTCATGTACTAATAAGGCTTTGTTATTTCAGATTTTGCCTGTGGCTCACACAAAAATACATCCTGATCAGGTATCATATATCTTTTGTTGTTTCTTCTGTCTTTGCAAGTACATGTAACATCCTAATTTAGCACCCCCACTTAATTTCAAGTTCCAGATTTTCAAAGCCCAAACCATTAAGTAACATTAAAGCCAACAGAAATTTCCCCTAGGGGGGAGGAGCTGTTGAACTGGGGGTGAAAAACTTCAAATACTGAAGATCTGTGTAGTCTGCAGAAGTTGGAATATAGAGCCTGAATGAGCTGTGTATTGTAGGCCATAGATTTTATCCAGTTACTTTTGTGTGAAAAATGAATTGCCCATCTGACCAAAACATCTTTCAGAAAGCATCTGCTCTTTTGGTTAATACATAATCACTTAGAGAAGCCACGTATATTGTGAAAGCTAAATACTCCTTTTAAAATCAGGTTAATAATAAATGTAATCAGAATAAGCTAAGGTGGAAAATGAAAACTACAGAAAAATAAATTAATTCTGAAAGAAACAGGAATGTTAGGAAACAGATTAATCATTTGAGAAAGTTTACAGGGTTTTTTTTGTCACCATTTGTTTTTCTGCTCTCAAAAACAGACCTAGACACAAATATTTTGTCTCATTTAGTTTAGGAAAGTCAAGTACAATCCCTAACATGGCAAATATGCCACATGAATGTGTTTAAACCATTGTAGTGGTATATGAAAATTTGCTGTGCTTAAGCCTTCCCCTTCCTCATTGCTAACAATCATCACATGAAAACCTGGTTGATGCTTCTCCTCCCAAAGTCAGTGCTAAGAAAATAAAAAAGGCATTTTGTGGCCAGCCCTCCTCTGAAATGCATTATCACAGTAACAGTGATGAGAGAGTGCATGAATGAATCACAAGGTGAACAGAGCACTAGGAAGCCCTTTTACAGTGAAGAGGTGCGTTGGTACATCTCTTGGTACATATAACTACGCATTTCAGGATACTTGCAAGTGTCTAATAAACCAGTTCCTCTGCATGGTAGTAAAAAGATTATTGGAAGAGAACTGCATTCTTGTCAGGCATTTTCAAAAACTCTACTACATGACTGCATGTCCTTCCTCATTTGCAGACATTGCTAATAATTTCACAATGTAACATTTAACTTCTCTGTCTCTGGGTGTCACTTTCTGTTTCAGAAACTAGGTGAAAGTGTTCAGCAACTTCTTCTAGCAAAAATTGCAGTCTACTTGATGACCTTCTTAATAGTCACAGTGGCATGGGCAGCTCATGTAAGGTAGGAACTCTGAAGTTAAAGAGAAACTATTGTTTAAAAGGGCAGGAGGTAACTATGTGTCTGACATTTCTGTCTTGCTGATGTTTCTGAATTATCTTTTGTTGGGTAATAAAAAAAATCATTGTAAAGAAATGCTACCCTAAGCAGTGAGTAACTGTACTCTTACGCCACTGACAGTGATACAGAGAAAAACAAGCATTATATATCTTTTAAATTACTCTTCATTTTACTTCATATTCTAGATGGAATTAAACTTCTAATTATGCTGAAAAAGCATGATTTTGTAACTTGCATGCTACACAAATAGAGGAACTGATACAGTGCAGCTGGCCAAAAACTTGTCTGTCTCAGTCCTCAGCAGTGCTTCTCAAAAAATCAATTGTAATGTTGCAGATGCTGCATTTTAGAGCTGTGGACACTGCCACCTGCCCTGGTCTTGGTAGTTAAAAAGAAATTGACTTGCAGGCATCGTACTGGAATCAGGGCAGTTTTTGTTTGAATTTTGAAATTTGCAAATGTTACTATATTCTTTCCTTAAGTAAGCAGATTGGCTGCATTCTAATAGAGGTAATTCAATACTTGATAGTTCACATCAGTGCTTTTATTGCATTGCTTTTCTTGTGTAAGTAGATGCTGAGGCATAGTCTTTGAATAGTTTGGGGTTTTGTGGAGGGTGATTGGTTCCACTGACTCTGAGTGACACTTCTGTGCATCGGGAATTTAATTTTAACAAGGTGTAGTGCAGTTTGGAAGAAAAGCTTACTTTCTTTGTGTAACAATAACTATGGCGTATCTTCAGCAGAAATAATTTTAAGACTTAAAATTCTGAAAATATTCTGGTCCTAACAGCATGAATTTGCCTCTGTTCTCCCAAGTAAAACTCAGAGAAAATCAGAATAATAGCTCTTCACAATGACATATGAGACAAAGAAAAATCTGAGACTCCAGGTGGACTCTGAACATCTAGATCTGCTCTGGAAGATCTGTGCACTACTACTCTAGGGCTCAGATCCCTATACAACATTGCTTCATCTGACAAGCTAAAAGTCATTCTGGTGCCTATACTTTTATTTTGGCATCAGAGTACCAACTGGACTTGTTCATGTTCTTGTGTGAGCAGTGAACAGTGCCTGCTGGTCAAAGTCTGCCTTTGTTCATGCTTCAGAAGTATTTGCTTAAGCACTGAGCACAGGCTGTCGGTCTCCAGTTAGTTCTGGGCCTTGCCTATGTTTAAGTAAATAGGTGATTAACAGACGGCTAATGATAGTTGTCCTGTGGCTCCCAAGCCTTGTGCAGCTCACTAGCGGTTTGCTGGCAGTCCTGTCCCAGGTGTGTCAGGTGGCAAAAGATAGAGCTGTTCTGGAACAAAACTGCTGTGGGAGAAAGCAAATCAGTAGCCTGCCCCATTGACTTGGCTGCATTTCATCCTATGGTGAAGTGGCAAGTCCTCCAGGGAATCGTCATCAACTCTTGCTCCCGAATCACACCCTTGTGTTCCATTTTCCAAGGAATGATACCTATTTGTAGCTCAGTGCCTTGTTAGGTTTTTGGTATGTGACTTGATGGGTCAGACCTGACATCTGGATCACTTCTTCACAGATAATTTGCTGTTAACAACGGTGAAATTTACTTCAAAGTAAATATATAATTTCAGGTGTAGAGGAAGGATGGAGTAGGGGTGGGAAAGCCAGTTTGCTATGTCATATGCCACTTGTCCTTCAAATAGAAGTGAGGTTCTTAACAACTGCTGCATGATTGAACTTGACTGTTCATATTTCGCTTTTCAAATTCTTCTAACAAATTACTTCCATGTTCAAGCTAATGAGTTTTGGTAGCACCTGGACTACTTTTATAAATTCTGAAGCAAAGGAAATCAGCATCCCCTATAATATCATAAATGTACCATTTGTATACGGCATTGTAAAACATATTTTGGGAGCTGGCTTGTTCATGATATCTTGCCTTGCCTTGACAGGTTGTTTCAGGTGATAGAGCTTATAGATGATGTCCTCGCTCTTCTAAATCTGGTGAGTCTTGTCAGACACGCTGGATGTTTTAACTAGCAAGTACAGGTCACTTTTTCTTAAGTCTGTATGTACATATCCAAAAGTTTCTAATTTAAACAGCGTAACTCTGCCAAATTTCCAAGTCAGGAAGATACAAAGAGCTTGAATTCCTCCTTGCCAAAGTGGCTGATGGATAACTAACTTGCTTTTAACTAGCATATGTTTTACTATAAGCCAGAAGAAGCTCTGCAACAGGTTAATCTGAAGCTCATCTGAGGGAACTGAAGAGGCACCTATGGCAAAGGCTTTTGACTCTCTTCATCTGTGTGCAGCTGAAGTATCTGTTCTCCAGGCTTAGGAAAATGAAATGCTATGTCTTTTGTGGCAAAAAAATCTTAGTGGTAGTTTTGAATTACAGTTATGTTTTCAAGTCATTTCTCTGTTTAAGTTGCTCAGAAATTCATTCTGAAGCTTATTTGAAATCGAGGATTATATGATCTTTCAAAAACTACCACTGAGAGACCAATCTCTGAATCAGTGTTTTGAGATTTACACTTGCCTAAATCTTACCTCGTAAAAATTCTTCATTTATCTGAGTATGTTTTTTAACAAGCCACCCTGTATATCTTGGTTACTAATAGTGGTAATAGGATGCTGCCATAGTGAACATATTCTTCCTTTCAGCTAGAGCTTTGTATTTTGCTATATTTTTTAAAATTCTGTTCTCTGACAGTGTGCAACCACACAGTTAATTTAATTTAGTTAATAACAGTACTGAGTTTAAACTCCATGAGATAACACTACAGGAAATTACCTTAGACTACTAGCTTAAGGCATGTAGTTCTTACCTAATGTAGCTTTCAGAGCAAGGCATTTCTTTGTGCTTGAGCTGTGGGGTTTTTGTAATTTGGCTTTTTTATATATGAAATATTTGTGATCAGAGATCAATGTTTTTGACAAATCAGAAACCACTGTTTAGGTAGTGTGGTACTATTGGCATTGCTACTTTTGCCTGTGGTATTGTCAACAAAACTGTAGCGTTTTCTAAAATAAGCTTGTACAGTTTGGATAGCAAATGTGGAAGATGCATACAGAACTAGCCATTTGTTGCAGTTAAAGCTCACCAGCTTCAGAAATGTGTTTTTTTCCATGGTGCAGCATAAGCATTTGATCTGTTTGTGTTGCATTCTCTGGACACATCTTTAATGTGGGGATTGCTTGCTTTGTATTTTGCCTAGAGTTTCAGTACACTTTTTTCTTTTGTAGGCCTGTATGATGATCATAACTTTCTTGCCATACACTGTAAGTACTTTTCTAAAATTTGGCATATGTTTAAATTACAGAGTTTTTTTTTCTTTATTTATTTGGAAAGACTTTACCAAAGTATTCAGAAACTCAGGAAAGTGTTACTATTGTACAAACCCGGAATCCATTGTAATAGTAAAGCCCTACTTTTTTAAAATTCATGAGGACATGTTACAACCTTCAGTTACTGCATGTTATAGACCTGGCAGAAAATGGGTATTGTAGAAGAAAAATTATAATAATGGAAAGTCATAGTTTCCCATGATTTCTTTTAAAAAAGCAGCTGTATTGAAAAATGTCGAAGTCGCCTAATGAGAATTTTGCATTTTATAAGAGAACTAAAGCTGTGTTTCAAACTCTTCTTTAGATGACAGAACATTTTCCTTTTGTAATCTAGACAAGATTTTGATATCACTTTGACTTAGAAAGGTTGATTCTAGCAGCCAATCATTCATTTTCTGAATCTGCAAATTTGATGTTCTGCACAATTTCTGGTCAGATGGCCTTTAGACCTAGCAAGAATATTTGCAACTGAAAACCATATTAGCAGAACAAAAGTGTTGTTTAAAATGCATCTTGACTTCTATTATACATGTAGAATAGATTTATGACAGGTATCTGTTTCTCTATGGATATACCTGTGTTATATATTAGTCTGCAAAGAATAAAGCTGTGGTCAATAAAATGGTCTTTTCTGCAAATAATAGGGCTGTGGTCAGTAAAACGGTCTCTATCAGCACGAGCACGTACTTTTTACTTTGACTTGAAGCTGAAATAATTTTTGGAAATTGGTCAATGTTACCCTAGTACTACTCCCTGCTTCCCCCCCCCCCCCCAAGCTACAGAAATTAATACAACAGGGAGCCATGGAGGTAGAGAAATTAAAAGATTCAAAAAGGTATCCTAATATCAAGAATTTTCACAGCTATGAATATCTTATCCACTGAAAACACTGTTAAACTTTATGCTCAGCTACAAGCCAGTCTGTAGTTATTATGGAGACATAGCGTCAGAGAGGTTAAGGTTATGTGGTATGAACATGAGAGGAAAGCCATCTCTCCAGATGCCTTTCGTTGGAATGCCTGCGTGTGTTTGTGGCTAGAAGTTGCGTTTACTGGAATTATGTTGAAAAGCCAAGTATTATTTAGGTTTTTGAGTTTCAATATTGAATGAAGAGTGCTTCCATTCTCTACTGTTATTCCTACATTGCTCCTTAATTAAATATTTGATCTAGTTGCATTTTTTTCTAGTTTTCCTTAATGGCCTCCTTTCCAGAGGTACCTTTTGGCATTTTCCTGTTCAGTGTCTGTGCTGTTGTCATTGGCCTTATACAGGTATTGGAGCCATCCATTTACATTTTCACTTTTAAATACATTTTCTTGGGTAGAACTAAAATTACATTTCTTAACTATGGGTATAAATTGCTAAGTGTCTTTTTTGTTTGTGTAGCATTCTTTTTCAAAGTTGTGCCTGTTGTGATAATATATTATCTGCATATGAGATGAAAGTGTGCATTGCCACTGTCCTGTGAAGGTGATTTATGCAACTAAATTGGCTGATCTCAAAGTCCACAGAATAGAAATTCCTTTCCCAGTCTTTAAGGAAATAGCAATTGACTTTTCCTGAACTGAGCTGTGCAGTGATGGCTGAGTGAACATGGGCTTTCAACCTGAGTCCAATGGCACTGGTTTTCTCCTGGTGCAGTGCCTTGTTGCTTTCAGTTTCTTATTGTGGAGGTCTTCATTCCTCTTCTTGTAAGATCCATGGTCAGGACAAGCTCTGCAGAGGAGACTAAAATCTTGACATGCAGTGTATTGTGAAATCTCAGAGATTCTAAGACCAGCCCTCCGTGAGGGAGTGAAGAATAAGGCTGAAAGTGTTTTGGAATTTGTTGATTTATAGTTTTACAGTTTTATATTTGAAATGCTGCATACACTTGTATGTAATAACTTCAGTAATGCTCTTCTCCTTGCAGGCTGTGATAGTACTGTATGGATTCTATCACCCACACTTGCTGAATCAACAGATACAGGTGTCTGAAAACCAGAATTTCTATAAACGTCATATCTTAAAGATTATCCTGAGAGGACCAGTTTTATGCTTTTTAGCAGCCATCTTTTCTTTTTTCTTTATTCCTTTGGTAAGTTCTCCCAGTTCACTGAAAACTTTGATGCAGCAGTTTATATTAGTTATATTTAGGGTTGTGTATTAAAATAATGATGTCCATGTTAAATGTGCAGACTTTCTCAGTTGCCAGTTCTGTGACATAATCATGGCTGCTATTTGCATTGAAGATGTTCAATTCACAGATAACAATCTGTAATTTGATCCATGAGTTTGGGTAGTTTTGAAAGAATATTCTGCTACAATATTAACCTTACTTGCTCTACCTGATTTTTTTTAAGGTTCTTTTAATTAGAAGCAGGTCTTCTAAACTGTAGCTTAGCATCTTGGTCATCAGAAGTAGGTGAGATAATGTGGAAGGTTACATGAAATAAACATCACATTGCACAGACTGAAGACAAGTGAATACAATTGCTGCACTAACTCAGGGTGTTAAGAGCAAATAGAATAAGCAGACCAGTTAGCCAACCTGCATCTCAAAACAAATGTTTTTGGCTAGGGCCTGCTTTTACACAGCCTTTTTCTTTGCCATCTTTATTAAATGGCAGCGAGTTGCTCCTACTTATTAATAGCTCGTATCTTTCTCAGAACCCCTGCTTGGAACTGAAATCTAGTTTTTGGATGTATCCTGAGCTTCCTTTCCTCTGTCTTGTTCTGTAGGAAAAGGTAGATTTAACTGAATTTTGAGAAAGATTCCATGGGAATTAGCAGTGTTTAAATAATCTCCAAATTTAGGAGGACTCAGGTTGCTGTTGATAAAAGGGACAGTTATGATTCTAAATGTGAAAAGGCTTAATTTTAACTGAAAATATGCCTTCGTCTTACTTCCTCACTTTCCTCTTCTCCCTCGCCTTGTTCACTAGTGTATTTTCTTTTAATATTAATAACAGTGACATTAGTCTCCAGGTTGCTCTTGTGTTTAGACCTGTGCAAAGCCTGTGAACCACTTATGACCCACTGAGGTGTCTTTGGGAGACAAGTAGTAGAATCATAGAATATCCAAGTTAGAAGGGACTCGTAAGGGTCATATGGGATAGTTCTCCAACTTCCAAAGAACTCATTACTGCATTTTTCTTAGCAGAATTATTTCCCTTCTTCTTTTAGCTTGCTTCATTACTGGTACTAAATTAGCTTTCAGAAAGCAGTATTGGGTTGCATATGCAATATCGAGGAGGTACATGTGCATTTCAGGTGAGCCTTTTCCATGTCATAAAGACAAGATTTGTTTTTCTCAGTGTGGTTATACCTAAAGATTGAGAGTTATAGTTTCATATTAAACTTGGAAGGTAATTTGTATTTTGACAACTAAATTTAAACTCTGTCATTTTCCTCTCCATAGTCTTATGTACTTCTTGGGCTCGTAATCGTTTTTCCGCATCTCACTCGATTCATTACATGGTGTAAAACCAAGATTGTTGGTGAGTAACAATATTCATAGGAGTATGTTCAGATATGTTACTAGGTTGTCAACATGTTATCCAAACTGCCTGGAATGAAGTAATTTTAGTTCTACTTCCATTTTCAGTCTTGGAACATAGTGATTTTGGTGTTTATTGCTGTGCTTCCAAACAGTTTCTCCCTCGCTTCCTGGTTTCCCTTAATCTGTCACGAGGTTTGTGTAAGACACAAAACATTCAAAGATCATTTCTGAATGCCAGACCTCTCTGGTTTGTCCTGAATATGCATGTGTGTGCATACACACACAAGTACATGAATGATGGCTGCAGGCCATCTATCCCCTTTCCTTCCTAAAATGGGAGCATGGGGATTGAAGACTATAGGAAGCAAGCTCTATGCCTGTATTGCTTCCTTCCTAGCAATACTGTACGGTCCCACATTTTCAAACTGGCAAGCAAAGCACGTATAAATCAAACTTTTTCAGGGTAATTAACTGTTTAGCATGTTACATCTCATTAATTTAACTGCTGTGGTCTAAAGGTGTGCATTCACACACGGCTGAAGTCAGCCTAAATCTATGCTTCCTTCCCTTACGCTCCTTGCTTATGTTCTTTCTGCCCACCTTGTGTCAGCGCTAACAATTGCATAACCACACCAACAGCTAGAGCTGCTTTTAAACTCTGCTGAGGAGGAGGTTGCCAGTGCCAAAATAAAGGAGAAGGTGGTATCATGCAACTTACTCAGCCCAAAGGTGGAGTGTCCCTCTTTAAGAGCAATATAAACTGACCAGAAAAACACTGAACAGAGTCATGTCTTTGGAATTGGTGCTCCCGAGGTGAGTCAGAAGACTAACACCTTTGTGCTTCTGCTGCTCTTCAGCCTAGTACAAGTCCGTCTGTGTACAGTGCAAATGGAAAAATACTTTTGATTCCCCCATGTGGCAGCAATAATAGACAGGGAGGCAGAAATGCTCTAAAACAGCTAAAGCCAGACTCTGAGAGCCAGAGAATAAACACATGCAAATACTGCCTGTGCCTACTGTGATGGAGGCACTGCGGTTTGCCATTCGGTCTTGTCTGTGTACATCTCACCCCATCCGATGGCTGACAGAAATTACTGCTTTATTGACTGAATTGTGATTACACTTGCTTTTCATTCAGTTCTTCTCCTTACTTCCTCTGGAAGCTGTAAGCTTTTTCTTCACCCAGTCAATACTCCTGAAGTGGTGCAGCTTGGCTATCTGGGCAATGCAGAGTCCGGTCTTTACAGATGTGTTTGACTTTTCCTATAAAAACTCCAGAGCCCCACCTTTTGACCAAAGACTGGATTTATTTTAAAGCAGGCCATTTGATGTCCCAGTGCAGCCCCCATGCTCCAGTGAGTTTTTTCTCCCATGCGGTGTAAGTTCTCCACGCTGTCTTAAAGGACCTACAGCTATTAGGGCTTCCCGAGGCACAGCATCTGATTTGTTTAGCTCAAATGTTTTGTTCAATTACAGCTTTGAGTCATTTTTCACTTGGTGGAAATGGTATGCCATACAGTTTAAAGGACAGGGCTCTTTGTCCCTGGAGCCCTTGTTCTGAAGGCAAGGTGAACTTCCGGGACAGGCACAGCTGCCGAAAAAAGTGGAGTGACTGACTTATATGGATGAATAGTACCTTTCTTTCTACAGAAAGATTTTGGCAAGTGGGGAGAAAGAGAAAGGGAGTTTCTACCTTGTTTTATGCTACCTGATTTTGTCTTTCATTAGTAAACATCTGGATTTGTTTCCAGGTCAGAGAGATGAAGAGGAAGAACAGCATAGCTTAGAAACCTTCACTTTTTACCTCAGTGAGCCTCTGAGTAAGGAACGGGTAGAAGCATTCAGTGATGGAGTCTATGCTATTGTAGCAACCCTGCTCATTTTGGATATATGGTAAGGCTTTGGGTTGCCTCTTACACTTTGTGTTGTTAAATATTATCTTTTGTCTATGTAATATTTGAGGAAATAAAATTAACCAAACATTGTCTTTGACTTCTAAAACCTTCAGTGGTTACTTTAAGTATAATTTTCTGGAAAGATACAGAACACAAACAAAAGATACTTCTAACGCTCACATTTCATCAGTAGTGATCATCAGTCTATTTAATGTATGTTGGGTTGGGGAGTCTTGAAGAACCAAGCTTCCTTTTTGCTTGGTCATGTTTTCAGCTAAAAAGCTTTTATCAACAAAAACTGCTTAGTCAGTGTGGCAACTTTATTACATTAACCTAAAAGAATGCCAACTTACTTTCAGATTTCCTTTCAGATCTAATTTATTTGCAGAGCTGTTTTTTGAAATGCTGATTTTAAGTTACAAATTAGAGAACTACAAAGTGGGTGCCTGTTGTTCCCTACTTGCTCGGAGTAAAGCAGCATAGTTCAGTGTTGCTCCAGGTGTGTTTTTGTAACAGTAATATGCAAAGTAAAGTAAGTTTTTTCTCCACAGTGAAGACAACGTCCCTGAGCCCAGAGAAGTTGAGGAGAAGTTCCATGGCAGCCTTCTTGAAGCTTTAAGTGAATATGGGCCAAACTACCTTGCCTACTTTGGCTCATTTGTAACAATTGGTCTCCTGTGGTTTGTCCATCACTCGCTTTTTCTTTATGTAACAGAAGCTACACGATTAATGGGGCTGCTTAACATACTTTCATTGGCTTTCATTGGTGGGCTTCCACTGGCTTACCAGCTGACCAGTGAATTTGCAGAGAAGTCTCACAATGAAATAGAAGCCATTCAGGTCAGCTGTGTTATCACTTTCTTTGCCAGCATATTTCAGTTTGCAATATGGACTACAGCGCTCCTCCATGAAAGGGAAACTTTGCATCCCTTTGCTAGATATGGTGGCAAGGAGCATGCCTTCATGTTTGCCAAGCTGGCTCTCTACCCTTGTGTAAGCCTTGGGGCCTTCTTTTTAACATGCTTGTTAAGTGAATTCAGCACAGCCATTTTCCATCTTATGCAGATTGTAATCCCATTTGCTTTTCTTGCCTTGCGCATTTTTGTTAGAATTTCTCTAACTGTTATAAAGTCTGTGATGTCTCTCTCCAGACGGAAGGTTGTAGTGTTAGAAGAGGAGGAGGCATGTTTGTCTCCTACTGAAACACTGTCCTAAATTTCCACCAGTGCATGTGACATTGTAATGTTAACTTGAGTTCTTCTAACTCGCATTATCTTCTTGTGTGGATTATACTGATCTAAACCAAAGCCTGCATTGGCCATAACTGGGGAATATTTAAGTTAGCTGGTCATGCTTGAGACCCTTTCTCCAAAACCTTTAATTGGAAAAATCAGGTAAATAGGAGGTACAAAGAAAGGCATGTTCTCCTTCCTTTAGAATTACCCTTTTGGAAAAAATGCTGCTTGACATGTTAACTGCAGTAATGATCAATTAAGAAGTGCACAAACAGATGCCCAGCAAAATGCTCTTTCTTCTGACATGACAAGTCATGATGGCAGCCAATCACAGGTATAGAAGCTGGTTGTGGTACTAAAAGATAGGGAGTGAGCCTTGGAAGACATGGAGACCTCTGGATTTCTGGATGGTGCATCGTGGTAAAACATTTGTGTGTACGGGTTGCTGGTCTCCGCCCCCCCCCTTTTATTTTTAAAAAATGGTTACAGTGTCTCTTCTGCGTAGTTGCAAACTTGTGATAGCATTTTGGAAACTACTTGTGTTTCACTCTGAGCGTGACTTTAGATGGGAGTTGCAACTGTGACCCATATGCCGTCTTCCAGGCTACCTGAACACAAGTTCTTCAGTCAGTTCTTCATCTGTTCTTTTAAAAAAGGATGTATTTAACAAATGAGGATTCATGTGGCTGTGTATCCAAGGTTTGAACTAGCTTTGATATCTCCCAGGGAAGAAATTCAAAGAGCTGTGGGACTAGAGGTAAATCTGTTTTCAGTTCTGAAGCAGCTGCTCATCTGAAGTAAAAGGTTTGGATTTCTCAGGCTTTTTGTGTCTGTTTTCATGCCTATTGAAAGGAACATCCTTCTGTTATTCTGAAGGCATGATGTCATATTCAGAGAGTGTGAGACTTTCCTGCCACATGTAAGAGTTCCTCATCAGGTAAGGGAGTTGAGTTTGTCGCTAAGTAGATGCTAATTAAGGGATCCCACAGATTTCTGAGTCTCAGCAAGACGGCAAAAGAAGTTAATCCTGTAGATGTTCAGTCCATGGTATGTTGAATTTTTTTACATTTATGTGCAGTTTGATAAGCTTTATGCTTATCAATCGTTACCCTGCAGAGAGCTGTACAGAAGGAGTGGGCAAAATCATCTAGTCTTGGGCTGCCCTGGAAGCCCTTACATTTGTTTTTGGCAGAGCCATTAGATTGTATCTTGAACTGTCTTAGTGCTTGATAACTTTAATGCCATATTTAAAGGCATTGGAGGGATTTTGTCATTCCTCTTAAAAAAAAAATTTAAAGTATGCCTGGAGTAATCGTTTGTGAAAACAAATTCAGATGTCTCATTTCAGTTGAGATCAGTCTTGAAAGCACTTGTGCTTTTGGTTTGAAGCACCTTGGTACCAATATGTAATTGTTAGTATTACGTACTTCTTGTGAAGACAGTATGTTCAGATACTGAAGGGGTTTTATACCTGGTTGAGGTTAAATGACTTGCAGTAGGATTCTGCATTGTGTTGTGTATTGCAGTTTTCTGATACTTAATAAGAGAACTTTTGGTTCTGTATGGTTTTGTTTCTAATGTGCAGCAGGCACATAAGCAGTGAATATGTGTATTTGTAATAAATTTCAATCAGTCAAAAAACAAAGCTTCTATCCATTTATTTCTGCTCTGCAGGAGAAACTTAAATCTACAATTAAAATTATGTTGGACATATTTTTACTTTTTTTCCTTCAAAATCATAAAGGTCCCTTCAAACCTCGACCATTCTGTGATTTCATGTGAAAACACCTAAAAGCTTTTAATGTGATGTAAAGAAATGCTGATTCTACTTCCGTTGGTACTTCAAGAAAAAGAGACCTAAAACTGAATCTGACCAAGGGGTTTCATTCCAGTGTTTACAGGGGTGCTTCGAAGAGCAGTGAATGGCGATGTATAAATACTACAAGGAACAGTGTTGGCTAACTAATGCATTTTTCCTTTGTCACCAGGAATTTTAGACTTGCTCAGTTTGATTTTTTTCAGTGTGAGCATACTTGACAGTAGTGTGCAAAGCTTAAATTCACTGTAGGAACTTGGTTTGCAGCCTTCAGCTTGGTAACCTGTGGGATTACTCAGGACAGCGTCAGGTAACTGTGACCTATTTGTTTGTTACTATTGAATGGGGCACAAAGATAAGTGTTTTTGTGGTGAGAAGAAAACACACAGATCTCTTTTAATGCTTGTAATTTGAGATTTCATTGCAGGTAACTACGTGGTGCCATTTACTTCTTTTCTTCTCCATGTGTGATGGTGTGGTGTCATGACTGGTAGTCCATGTTCCCTGCTGCAACAGAAGGAGAAGACCAGAACACCTGTTCTATCTGTGTATCATCAAAAGAAATGAAGAGCAGTAGTGATTTCTCCTCAGAGCTTTAGTGCTTTCTGTTTAAACATCCAGCATAGGGATGTTATTCAATTAATTGTTCAAAATCATTTAAAAATAGAGCATTTTGTTGCTTTGAATAAATGAAGCTCAATCAGTAACTCAATAAAGCACTTCTGCAAAGCAAAAGCTCAAAAAATGAGTGAGTGCTAATTCATAAAGGCACTGGCTAAAGAACAGAATCTGCTGTAACTGACATAGTGTTTCTGTACAATGCATTTTTTTAGAAAGATGCAAAACATGCATCTTTTTTCTCACCCTGTGTTAGGATTTTGGAACTTTTAACATACAAGACTTACTTCCTTTTTTTAAAGTAATTTGTGTTTAGCACCCAGATTCATGTGAGTGACAAAACCAAGTGAGCACTGAATTTGTTAGCCTGGGTCATCAGAAGTCATTTCAGGCTGGTGGTACACAGAAAAGGCTAGTTAGATGGCTGATCAAAGTTAGCAGTATTTCAAAATCATGGATGCAGTAATTCAAGATCATCACAGTTTGCAACTTTTTTCATTCTAGTAGTAAGTTGAAAAACACTTCTGGCAAATATATGATCTAACTTGTATTGTTTTCTCTTAAAACTGTATTAGCATCTGGAGAAATGCCAGACTGGGTTCTAGTTCTGCAAGTGCCAGTCTCCAAGTTGGCGTGTGTTCTCTTTGCAGCTTAGCATAAAGACTCCTACTTATATTACTGCTGTGTTGTGTTTGGGAGATTTATAACATTTAATTAAAATCATGCCACCATTGGGTATTTAAGGATTTTAAATCTCACATCTGGACATGCCTTGGACAAAAGTGGCCAAATAGGCAATCGTTGTGCCACTAGTAAATTCACCGGTTTGTTACTGACTTGGCACTGAGCTTTGTGTTGAATTACTATGGCATTAACTGATACGGGTGTTTGGAACTAAAGTGGTATCAACCCAGCAGTGACCTCTCATTTGTAATTCTCCAAGTGTCTCTCAGAGTTCTTGCTACTGAACGTAAATATAAAAAGAAATGTAAAAAAGTGATGGGTTACATACATTCCATCCATGAAAGCACTTTCAGGTCTTTCTGATACAGGACATACAACAATAATTAAAAGAACTTGATGATACTACAAATGAATGGAATACTGAGAATCTTCCCACAGGGTCCCTAAAGAGAAAAAACATTTCAGAGCTCTTTTAGTGAAAGAATTTCAATTACATGTGGCTTCATTAACAGAAAATAGCACAGGCCATTATCTTCCAGGGAGCGTAATAATCATATCCTTACCCTTTCACTGTGTATGTTTAACTTTACGCAAGGATTTGAAAATGATGGCACTAATGAACAGTGAGCTAAAATTCAGATTCCTTAATTTATGACAGAATATGAAACATAACCCAGATTTCTTAGTTGCCCGGCACATAACATGATTTTATTAAGGTCCAAGAACCAAACACAGAAGTATACTTCGTGGTCTTTGCTAAGGTGTCCTCTGCCCTCTGGATCACCCATGTAAAACGCTACTTGAAGCGGTTTCTCTGGGATCAGCCCCTGCAGAAGGCAGCGTGTCCGCGGCGTCACCCCGGCCCGAAGCCTGCGAGTCCCCG